GGGGTTAAGCGTGGGACGCGTGTTCCCTCCTCTAAGGCTCCGGCCGTCCTGCAATGTGGGTAGTAGTCTCCCTGTCTCAGATGAGCAGACCAGGGCACAGAGGGGTTGAGTAGTTTGTCCGAGTTACTCAGCTAATGAGAGGGGAGGCCAGGCCCCCGATCCTGTGCACACAGAGAAAAGGGCATTCCGCCGGCCTGGGGAACTGCGTCGGGGCCTTGGGAAGCCCACCAAGTCAGTGCTGCCCAGACCCTCAGACCAGACCTACTGAAAGAGAGTATTTTGAATGCTACCATAGTATCACTAACTTTATGTTTACCAAGTAAGGATATTAAAAAATGTTAAAGACTCAGTTAATAATCTATCACCATTTCATAAAAAGATCATCGTGGTACTCCCCAAATGGGATGGACTTGACCTTAGAATGAGGTACAGTCCTTCAAGTGGAAAGGTCGGCTTTCACAGAGTCCCACATCGTCCTCACGCTCTTCCGTCCCACCCTGTCCCCGCCTAGCCCGGTCTGAGACGGTGGATTCACTGATAGGCGCCTCTAAAGGCTTGTCCTGGGCCAGAGTGAGCCCCGGGTTGGCATTTGTCTGAGGCTGAGTCGGCTGAGTGGCCCAGTGTGGAGGCATCCACGTCCAAAGGGTGGAGGCACCGCAGCGTGGAGAGAGGCCCTGAGCAGCGCCTGGCGGAAGCCCGCTGACCCACATGCCAGTGTTTTCTCTGGGCTCTACTCTGCCCCCTGTCCCTGCTCGGGTGCTGGGGGCCAGCACGAGTGGGCCGCGAGAAGGCCGAGGGAGACCAGGCCAGCCAGAGAACCTGGGGGAATCATTCCTCCCTGGATGCTCCCCTCTGTTCCCGGAGCGCTGGCTGCCCGGCCTGAGCCTGGTGACCTTGGACAGCAGGCCTCTCTGCCCGTCCTGGAGGCCATTTCCTTTTCTTCCTTTACTTCTCAAAGGACTTGAAGGAGGCAACATACAGACCTTCCCTTCTTATAACAAGGGCGGGACTCTTTTGTTTTGACTTTAGTGTAAAGGAAAACACAAACCCGGCGCTCCGTGCCCTTCAGGCTGCTCATCTCTCATCTGTGTGTGCTGTGTCCTGCAGTGGGGGACACCGGCCTCGGCCTACGGCCATGCTCCTGGTCTATGCTGTACTCGAGTGAACTTGTCTCTCCAACCTCTGTCACTCTCACCTGCCCGTCCATCCATCCGTCTGGATTAAGCAAAGACTTTGCTCTTGAGCATGTGAGGGAAAGAACTGCCTCCCCAGCGCCTCTGCTGCCGCCATGGGCGACACTGAGCCCAGGCTACCGGCCACTTGTCACCGGCAGCAGGAAGGCAGGTCTGGGACCACTGACAGGTGGAGACTGGAAGAGACACTGAGACTGTGGTCGGTGGATGTTGGTGGGGATGTTGTCGCTGTGGCAGTTTTTATTCCTTATCTTACAATGAGTTCGGGACACTGATCTAGCTTCCCTGCGCCTGTCTGTCCTGTGGGCTCTTGTTAGAATCAGGGCATGTTGTTGCTCTCTAAATTTAGGCTGTCCCATTATGACCTCACTGTTTCAGCGTTCTTGAAAATCAGGATCTGGTGTGTTTTCCCGGGCCTTTCCCCTGATGATTGAACTAATGTGGTGGCCCTGGGGGCAGTGCTTTCCAGCGTAGCTGATGGCCACTGTGTCCTAGCAATGGCCTTCAGCCACCCATAGGCAGTGGTTCAGGCTGGTTGAGATGGGGCTCCCTGGCTCCCTCCCTCTGACTTGTGGTTTCATAAACCACATAAACCACAGCCTGGGTCCATCTGAGAGCCAGGGTCCCCTCTACTACCCAAAGGGGACCTGGACAACGGAGGCGTCAGCACCAGTGCTCACAGCTGGCCGGGCTGCTCGCCCAGCCAGGTGGGGAACCGCGCCATGTGTGTGAGGGGGAGACAGCCTCTGGTTCCAGGCCGGCCTGCATGCCCGTGGCCTGGGAATGTGGTGTCGGTGGAGGTCGTGGAAGCACTGGGGTCGGCACCTCCCTGTGAACATGGAGGAGCCCCACCTGTGCACTGCCAGCAGGTTTTCTCACGGAACAGAGTCATCGCTCTTAAGTGCTCTTCTTTCTTTTTTTAGTTATTTTGGATGAGAATCTTAAAACTTTTGAACAGAATTCTAGGGCCAAATTTAACTTTACTTAAAAAACCTTCCAGATTTACCCAAAAAAGATAAAAAATAGTTCACAGAGTTCCCTTACACCTCCATCCTGTGTACCTCCCAACATGTCAGCTCCTTGCGTGAGCCCTGCACACTCGGAGAAAGGGAGACAGCACTGATACAGCGCCTTTCACTCGTGTACCGCCTCCTGGGGTTCTGCCCAGGAGCCCATGACGACAGGCCTGCGCAGCTCCTCCAGTCTGGACAGTTCTTTCCGTGTCTCTCAAGACCGTGACACGTGTGCATGCGGTCTGGTGTTCTGTGGAGTGTTGCCTACTGGGGGTCTGGCTGCTTGGCCCTGGGCATGAGGCCGAGGCGGCAAGTCCCGGGCCAGGCAGTGAGCAGAGGGGCCGGGGTCGCTCTCCTGGTGCCCCTCTTAGCGGGGTTCTTCCTTAGTTTTCACAGTATATCCATCAGGCTGAAAAACGTCATGAAAGGTGTTCAGTGAAGTGGTCCCTCCCAACTCTGCCCTGGGTATCTGGGTAGCTGGGTCCTGTGTCCTGCTCGTCTCCCAGCCTGCTTGCACAGAGAAGGCAGCGAGTACGCCTGCTTCTGCGGTGGGTTTCCCACTGCCTCGTGTGAGAGCTCATCCCGGCCCCGGCCCACTGCTCCCAGGCCGCCTTGCTACTCAGTCTCCTGCTCTGTGCTCCTGGAGTGTTGGGGGTGATGGAAAGCACCTCTAACAAATAAAAATACCTTGCTCTGGTCAGATAGGACTTTATGGCTCAGAATTTTCTGTTCTTTCAGGACTTAAATTTTATCCAAATATGGGTTCTGAGCCATCTGATGATTTCTGGAAGGCAGATTGCTGCTGTTCATGGTGAACAGCAGCCTTTTGTTGGGGGGGCAGTTGGCACTGGCCAGGCACACCTCTCCCTGCCGGCTCTCTCACTGGACGAGGGGCCGGGCCAGGGCCTGGGGCCCATATTTCCAACCATGCAACTGTGGATTTGCAGCCTAGCTCCTCCGAGCCTTCTTGAAATGGGGAGCCCCAGGTCCTTTGCCTGGAAGGCTCCCAACAATCTGACCCTGCATCTGTAGTGGCTGCAGCTTGGACAGAAGCTGTGGTGAGGGTGGAGAAGCCGAATGGCAGGTCTTGGCCATGCCTCTGGCTGCCTGCCTGGGTACTGGAAGCTCAGGCATGGGTGGGGCATTTCTGCTCTGCAGAAGCCCTGGCCACACTGTCCTTTTCCTCTTGAAAGGGCAGGTGGTGGGATGGTGTTTTTCCAGTTGGTTGAGCTGCTTGCCCAGGTGGGCAAGCTCACTGGGGCTTCCTGGTCTCCAGGGTGATGGCTGGAAGGCTGTTAATGCCAAGTGTCCTGCACTGGCTGCTCTGTGAGTGGGGGCTTCAGTGGAGCCCCTCCCTGTGCAGAGGTGCGGCCAGTGCATGGAGCACATGGGGGTTGGGGGAGGGGGGTGACTCCTGTCTCCTGTACTGGTAAGACCCAAGGCTCAGAGATGGGAAGTGCCCAGCCTGCGTTACCAGAGTGGCAGTAGATGCTGGAGATGGTTGTGGCTAGATTTTTGTTTTGCTCTTTTTAGACCAAATGCTTCCTGGCAAAACATAATGAACAGATTTGATACTAATAGTTTTTAAAAGAAGAAATCATGTAAATAATTCATCCCCATAGGACCAGAATTGAATTTGAGCTTTAATGTTCCCTTTCTCTGTATGATGCTCTCAGGAAGGGGCCTGACAAGGTGGGTCCCAGCAGGGCCCCCTGTGCTGCTGTGCGGTTAAGCCCCACCCTCACACTCGAGGGCCCCGTGGGATGGGTGCCAGCAGCACCGGGTGGGCCCCAAGTGCCCGGCCTGTAGTGTGTCCCGTGCACCACAAGGGCCTTCCTCCCTATAAGGCCTAGCTTGTCATTGGTGTCAGCCTGGGGGACTGGCAGCTTTCTCGGGTTCCAGTTTGGCCTTTGGGAGTGCAGACGCCATCCTGACCTCAGGTGAGCGTTACTGGGGTGGAAGGCAGCTTGTACCGCACCCTGGGAGACTGGGAGCCCGGTGGGAAGAATTCAGGGGCCAGCTGGGCCAAGTGGCTGCCAGTGAATGAGTGTGCATTTCGGGCAGTGACTTTCTGAAGTGGCTTTAGTGGTTGACTTTAAGGAAGAGGCCTCTTGGCAGAAGGGAAAGATTGAGCGAGCTGTACAATTTCCTCCCATTAATTACCCTGCTTTCACGGTTACCACCTGCAGGAACCAGTACTTGCAGCCTGGCGATTCCAGCCCTCCCTGCTCCCCAGCTGTGGGGGCTGTCCTAACTGATGGCCTCCTCCCTTTAAAAGACCCTTACCCAGTCATTGCACCACCACCCAGGAAAGGGACAAGCTGGCCCTCCTAGGGCTGGGACGGGGTCAGCTCCTGGCCCTCTGGGTCGGGGGGGGCGGGCAGCACGGTCGGACCGGATGCCTGTAGCTGGGAGACAGTGGGAACTCTGGACCCGCCCGTCTCTGAGTGAGGAGGTAGCACTGGGGAGGGGCGGGGCGCCTGCCACCCGTGCCCCGTTACACTCACGGACAGGCAGACAGACAGACATCGACTGGGGCCGGGATGGAGATCCGCAGGCCAAGGGCGGGGTTTAGCCCAGCATGGTGCTGTCAGCCATGCGGCAATCCAGGCGAGTCTGCACCCTCTGGGCCTCGCCTGCACGCCGGGGGTCCCGGCCGGTGCCCTCTGGCCTCCGTCCGTGTGAAAAGCCCATTGGAAGGCCGGGGGCGGGGTGTCGCCGGGCAGTAACACGGGCAGGCCTTTGCTGAAGCCGGTCTGACCTGGGAGCTGACGTGGGGCTTCTGTCGTTGCAGGAAGACATGGCTGCTCACGTCGGAGCTTCCCGGACCCCCCAGGAAGTGATGGAGCACTATGTAAGCATGTACATCCACGGCAGCCTGGGGAAGGCGTGCATCCCCGACACCATCCCCAACCGGGTGACCGACCACACCTGCCCCAGTGGGGGCCCCCTCTCTCCCAGCCTCACCACCCCCTTGCCTCCCCTAGACATCTCGGCGGCCGAGCAGCAGCAGCTGGGCTACATGCCGCTGCGCGACGACTACGAGGTCGAGTACGACCAGGACGCCGAGACGCTCATCAGCGGGCTCTCGGTGAACTACGACGACGAGGACGTGGAGGTGGAGCTCAAGCGCGCGCACGTGGACATGTACGTGCGCAAGCTCCGCGAGCGGCAGCGGCGCAAGAACATCGCGCGGGACTACAGCCTGGTGCCCGCCTTCCTGGGCCGGGAGCGCAAGGACCGGGAGAGGGCGGCCAAGCGCAAGGTCTGCAAGGAGGAGCGCGAGCTGCGCCTCAAGCTGCGGCCGCTCTACCAGTTCATGTCCTGCAAGGAGTCCGACGACCTGTTCGAGAACATGCACAAGGAGAGGCTGCTGCGCGCCAGGATCCGCGAGCTGCAGCGCTACCGGCGCAACGGCATCACCAAGATGGAGGAGTCGGCCGAGTTCGAGGCGGCGCGGCACAAGCGCGAGAAGCGCAAGGAGAACAAGGGCGCGGCGGGCGCCAGGCGCGGCCGCGAGGACGGCAAGGACGCCGAGTTCGCCGCCATGGAGAACCTGCCCGGCTTCGAGCTGCTGTCGGACCGCGAGAAGGTGCTGTGCAGCTCGCTGAACCTGAGCCCCGCGCGCTACGTGACCGCGAAGACCATCATCATCAAGGACCACCTGCAGAAGCGCCAGGGCATCCCCTCCAAAAGCCGCCTGCCCAGCTACTTGGACAAGGTCCTGAAGAAACGGATCCTGAACTTCCTCACGGAGAGTGGCTGGATATCCAGGGACGCCTCCTGAAGCCCAGGCGCTCCGAAGGCTGGGGTGATGCCAATAGCTCGTGAGCCAAATGACTTGGGGGCTGAGGGGTGCCTCCCCCCGTTGTTTCTCTTTTTTAAACAAATTGAGTTCCCTTTTTTAGGATATAAATTCTTTTCATGGTCCTATGAAAGAAGCAATAGTAACAATCTTATTTCGGATCATGGGGGAAACAAATACGTGTATATTTTAACTTAGTCCTAAAAGTAATACTTCAGATGACAATTTGCCTTTACATGTTCGGTTTGCAGCACATGAGATCGGGTGATTACTCTGAGCCTCCTCCCTTTGGTTACACAACTGTGCTGCGGGTACAAGGGGCAGCTTTTCCTGCTGGGCCCACCGGCCACCAGCGTTCCTCGGTGGCACCTAGCTCTGGCTGGTGCTCAGGAGGCTCCCCTGGAGGACCTACCGCTGCACGCGACACCCACGCGTGGCACTTTAGATGGAGCCCGCGGGGTGGGTGGGCAGTGAGGCCAGGGAGCCACAGGTTGTTTTCTTTGCAACGTTAGAGGAAGAATCTTAGGTAGAGCAGTGCTGGCAACGGCAGTTTGAGCTCGTAGTTCCCAATCCCAGCACCGCCCTGACCTCCTTTGCTGTGGGCAGAGCCCCCTCGGCTCCCGGTGGGGAAGAGCAGCTCCCCTGGGTGGGCAAGCTCCCTGGCGTACAGAGAAGGCCCGGGGGCAGGGAGCACATTAGTGGGTCACACACACCTTCAAACCGAGCCGGCTTCCCTAGGGGGCTTCTGCTGGCTGTGCATTCTACTCGGAAGAACACATTCAGAAAGTTCAAGGCTAAGAATTTGAGTTCTGGTGTTTGTTTTCTCCCAGGATCCTCGTCTTAGTTTAAGCACTTCTTGCTGAAGCTGACCATGCTCGCCCTGCTAAGCGTCTTCCTAGGGCCTTAGGCCGTGTCAGGTGCTGAGCACCAGGGCAGCTCACGGGGCGGCTCTGTGGACTGCTGCCTCTCCCGATTGCTGTCCTGAACCAGACCCCGGCGTGGCTCCTGCCCAGCCCTGTCGGTTTTCCAGAGGCCGTGTCACGGCCGTACACGGTCCCTTCCAGGGGCTCGAGGAAGCCATCTGTCCTCCAGCTGCTCAGGGTTCTCCTGCCCAAGACCCTGCTGTAGGAGGCGGCAGAGCGACAGCACACCCGGCTCTCCACTCCGCCCGGAGCTTGCCCTGCTGCTCCTGCCCCCACAGCTCAAAACAAGACTGTTTACCTCCCAGAGTATTTGGGCCTGAAATTAAAGCGAAGTTATTTGAAAGAAAAAAGAACAACCTCATTTCCAAGGACTTAATTACGGTGCCTTTTCCTTTCCTTTTACATCCTGTTTCCCCTTGGGTAAAATTTTCAGCATTAAACAAAACATTTCAATTACGTAGTATATGGCTTTAGTTGCAAAATGCACTGCATGCTGGCAGAGAAATGTTCCCTGTTAACTAAGCCCAGGACTTCTCTGTGACAACAGGGAAGAGTGAGCAGTGGTTCCTCCTGAGGCCTCCCGACTGCCCTGAGCAGTGAGGGAGCCGGTGCTAAGCTGTTGACCGGTGTCTCAGCCAGTGGTTCTCACCTGGGCTTCCTGGGCCAGCATCAGCATCCTGGGGGACGCTGGGGGATGCAGACCTTTAGCCCCCACCTGGTTCTGCTGAATCACACACTCCAGGTGGGCGGGGGCGGGGGGACAGACGTTGCCAGCCTTCCCCAGGTGAGGGCCACTGCAGATGGCTCCTCTGGTGGTGTCATTCAGCCATTTCCACATCAGATTTCTAGTTCCTAGTTCCAGGCGGCTTTAACTTTAGTCTTATTTTTATATATGATTGCCAGGCTTTGATTAAGTTTGAGAAACAAGATTCCTGTAAATGTGTGTGGCCCAGGCCAAGAGCTGTTAAATGAAAAACTGCTTAAGCAGGTTTCTAATATGTGTATTTTTTTGATGGTGTGAAGAATTTCCTTAGGCTTGACTGTTTTTAAAACACCGTAATGAATGTATAATTTATGTTGAAGTATTAACACTTTATTCCAATTAAGACTGGCTGCCTCTTATGCCCTCAAGTCCGGCTATTACATCCCATTCATCCTTACGCCTGCTGCTAGCTCAGCCCCTTCATGTCTCTGTATTTAATGCTCATGACAGATTTGTCACCATACCCCATGGAGTTAGATCTTTTCAGAATCTAAACTGAGTCAAGAAAGTTGGTAATGCAGCTATTCAAAATACTGCGCTGGGTAGCCAACATTCCAAGAATGTATAAACACGGAAACTACCGTTTTTATTACCTTTTACAGATTAAACAAGTTGGGAACAACGTGGTGTGGCTGCTGCGTCTTAACTGCCTGCTCAAGACTCAGCCAGCTTTTCTAGGCCCTGCAGATGCCGTGCACTGGGCTGGCAAAAACAGGCCAGGGGACAGCATGTGACATGTTTTGGTTCCGCATTTGTGTGTCAAACCAGCTTTTCCTCTGTTGGTTGAAACTGCTAAGTAGAAACCCTTTCATGACAGCCCTTCTTCTCTGAGCCTTGGTGCACTCAGAGAAGGTGCAGCTTCTACGGAGGTGGCCCTCAAGGGCCTATAGGAAGCAGACCGAGTGCTGCCTCACGTGGCCACAGGTTCACCACTTCCAGGCTGCATCACACACGACTGGGAATGCAGAAGCCTTTAATTTCCAGTGTTAATACCCCCAAGAAGGAAGCGGGTTCCTGCTGGCGGTGACCATGGAATACTGGAGCTCAGTGAAGAAATGGCTTACATGTTTAAGCTCCACTGTCTTGAGAGGGTCAGTGCCTCTCAGCAGTTGTACTCCAAAGGGAGGAAACTGCACATGTTTTGTAGGCAACAGTTTGAAAATCACCTTTCTTACCCAGCCTTCGTTTGACAGGTGAGTCCCAGGGAGGCAGGGCGACGCAGCTGCGGGCAGAGCAGAGCTGTGGGACCCCACCGGGTGTCCTGATGGTCCTTCTGCCTGCCTTTAGATCTGGGGGATGCTTTTGACCAGATAATCTACGGTAGTTTAAAGGTAAAGGGAAAAATGTTTCGAAACCCTATAAATTGAAATTTTAGTTACAGGAATATTGCCTGTATCTTTCAAAATTACAAAGTAAACTGCCGGCCCCATCTTTTTTTTAGGCAGTCGATGGGTTTAACACTACTTGATTGACCTTCAGTCCTAGAAGTACCTCTTACACGCAGAGGCAGTGGAAAGTGTTTTTTCCCCTTGCTTGTCAGACACCACAATCGCTTGACCTTTTCCCTAACGTGAGGAACAGAGAGGGTCCCACGGTGAGTCTCAGAGCTGGCCTTCGTAGACGGTACGCTGTTGCTGTGGCTCCTGGATGTCTGCAGCCCCCTCCAGTCTGGATGCATCTGCCCCCCGCAGGGGCCAAGGCACGCGCTAGCCTGCCACTGCGCTAGAGGGACGCTGCCCCAGTGCACAGGCTGGAGTGTCTGCATGCATGCATCGAATACACAGCTTCAGGCTTTGAGCGAAGAACAGGACAGCTGAGTCATGCTTCCCTCAGTAAGGACCTCCTCCACCAAAGTACACAAAATAGTTCCCGAAAGTAGAAAAATAAACACATGAAGGGCTTTAATCCTCTTAAATAAGTTTAAAAATTAAACATTAACATTAAAAATATACCAAGCATGTAGTCCTTAGATTTTTGAGAAAGTCCACCTCAACTAGGGAGGATGCCTTCAAGATGAGTACTAGCTGAATATAGATTTAAACGTTTGTACAAATAGATAAACAAAATGGGGCAAAAGTAACTGATTTTGTCCAACTCAGTTACTGGCAAAAAATGTGGTAAGAACCGTTAAGGCCCAAATGCTCATTTCACATCTCAAAAGCAAAGCCAGAAGCCAGTCACTTTTAGCAGCTAGGTTGTAACTAACACAAATGAACCCACGTACTCTTCACCAAGGTCATCATAACATTTTTAAGAAATGTTTATACTCCTGCCTTTCCTTCCCTGAATGGAAAATGCAGTGGGCCAGGCGACCCAGGAGCCCGAGTGCCACGGGGAGGTGCGGAAGACACGGCAGGGCTGCTGTGCCAGCTAGCCAGGCAGCAGGAGTCCTCAAGACCTTTATTCGATGCCACCAGTCTGAGCGGACACAGCACCATTCGCGATACTCTAGGGCTCGGCAGTGTCCTGTCAGCCTGTTCTGTGAGTATGTGGAACTCTTAAACACGTTTTAAAAATAGATCAGATTCCCAAATTAAGAGTTCATTAACACAGATGTGTAACCAGCTTAATTTTGTTTGGCCACTGGTTACTAAAGCTTTCCAATGGGGTTTGGGAAAAGGTCAAAAGTAGTCAGACGAGAAAAGATGAACCAGCCTTTTAAGAGTTAAAGCAAGTTGATTATGAACACCCAGCAAACCCTTGCCAGGCAGCTAAGCTTCTTTCACCACCCCCACCAGGGCGGGCCTGAGGGTGCGCCCATGCAGCTTGTACCCCACCTTGCTGACCAGCGCCACTGTGCCCGGCTCCTTCCCCTCAACCGGCGTGTGGAACAAGGCCTCATGCTCGTAAGGGTCGAACTTGGCGCCCACGGGGTTCAGCCTGAGTAAGCCGTGCTTCGCGAACACCTTCTGGACCTGGACTTCAGTCATTACAAGCCCCTCGTAGAGGCTCTTCAGGTGCGGGTTCTCGTCCTTGATCTCCTCTTCCGGGACACACTGCGTTGCCTTCTCCAAAATGTCTGCAACCTCTAACAAGTCCTTGCAGAAGCTCTGAATGCCTGAATTAGAGAAATTAAAGATCGTCATTGCATTCCAGATCAACTGCAGGAAGCAATTCAGAACTAAGCTGTTCCCTTCATGCACAGACTACTAATAACTTTGATCATTTGTTGGGTCTGGAATTTCACTGGCTTAATAAAAAAAACCTTTTCTGGGTTTAAACAAGTGCTAATTAGGTATGAAAACAGCTGAAAATCTGCAGGAACATCTCACCACCAGTCCTGCTCCCTAAGAAACGTGCCTCCTAGAGCATGTCTTCCCCCTGGACATTATAGCTACCGGCGCAGACGGGCCAGCCGCACCAGGGAGGCTGCTGTTCCGCAGCACAGAGCGCAGAGCTCGGGCCCTCCGGCCGGGGGCCGCACCCTGGCTGCTACCGAACTGTTGCTGTCATCTGCTTAACCTGTCTGGGTCTCAAAACGGAGATCACAGTGCCTAACACACAGCGCGGTCATGAGGACCAGAAGTGACCTACCCTTACACAGCCTGGGACAGGCACTGGGGGGTAAACGTTAGCGAGACATACTCTAAGCCTTAACCTTCCCTGCATGAACCTTAACCTAACACAACAAATACTGCATTAGAAAAGTCACTCAAAATTCAAGGCAGTGTATTACATAAATAAAAACTGCTTGTGGTTTTAAGAAAACGCCTCAGCTGCAGAGCAGTTAGGAAGGATGTGCTCCTGCTGGCGCCTGCGTCTGCCAGGCCCCAAGGCACAGCAGCTCCACTCTGCAGAAGGGACATGTGCTTAAGCCTTTATTCCTTTTCCTTGTGTTTTCACCCTCCTGCTTTAAAATGAAATTTAAAATTTCTACCTGTGTGCAGAATGTGAACACCTTCTGTGGGTTAGCCTTCATGGCAGCTGCCGGGGAATGTTCTGCCCTCTGAGGCTCAGGCATCTATCTCAAGGGACAAATGGAAACCACGGTGCCCCAAAGGAGCATTTGAGTGCCAAGAAAAGCCCCCTGAGGGACTCTAGAGTGGAGTGTCGGGAGGGTCCTGTGACCTGGGGCCTCAGGAGTCAGGAGCTATTGAGCATTCAAGGAGGTAATGGGCGACTGGTCTACAGGGAGGAGGCAGAGCCGGTGGAGCCGAAGGCCCCAGATGGGGCAGCAGAATGGGTGGAGGTGTGATGCAGTCTGACTGTAGCTTGAGTCACTTGGGCCGGGGGTGCGGAGTAGTGAGCCAAGAGCTGTGACATCAGCCTGGACCCGGGTGGAGGCACAGAGGGAGGTGGGTGGATCAGACGGCCATTCACCACTCACTGGATGGGATGGGGGTGGGATGAGGGAGTGGACGACGTGAATTCAGATTGACCTAAGCACCTGGGCAGAGAGACCTGGTAGAAGAAGAAAGGAGGCACAGGTCGAGGGGAAAATGAAGTTCAAAATACCTGTGAGACATGCAGGTGAAGATGCTAAGTAAACAATGGGACATCGGGACTAGACACCCAAGAAATGTCTGAACTGGAAAGAAGCCTGTGCATGGAAGCTGTTTAGGCCCATCAGGGAGGCAAGGCACCCGGGAGCAGACGAGAAGCCTGGCCCCGAGCCTTGAGGATCCCAGAAATGTGGAGTCAGACAGAGGACAAGTCAGAGGAAGAAGAAAGGAGCTGAGATGACAGCACCCAGAACAGTGTTTCAAGAAGAGATCTATGATCTGTCGAATGTGGCAGCACAAGACTGAGATCCTAGTTTGCACTTGGCCCTGAGCTGCAGTGTGTCCTTGGGCCAAGCATTCAAGCCCTTGCTGTGAGCCGCCTGACAGTTCCACAGGTACCGATGTGGCGGCCTTGTGTTTAATGAACTCCCAGATAGGGAGCCAGACGCCTGGTTGCCACTGCTTGCTAACTCTGTGATGAGGTAGTGAGTCACTGAAGCCTCAATGATCTCAACTGGAAAGTGGGAAGAACTGTGACAAAAATACCCAAAGGTGACAACCACATAGCATCTGAGATCTGAAGTGACACCAGTGTTCCCACCGGCGTAGCTAGGGAAATGAAGCCCCAAGAAGCTGACCTGCTATAATGACTGGCAGGTTCACACCGAGGCCTTCACACGGAAGAGCAGTCAGTAGAGTCCTACTGAAGGAATCAGCTCACAACCGGACATGCCGGCCACGGCCGCAGTCTCTGCTCCCGGCAGGCCCATCCTCCAGACTGCAGGGAATGCAGCCGGCAGGCACCCCGCTGCCTGCCACGTCCTTTCTGCTGTCTGACACTCACATGCCCCCTCGTGCCTGCCCTGCCCCATACTTTTCCAGGATCAGTATCATGTAATACTCAAAGTTACCATATAACTTTGCCTCCTCCACCAATTTTTGGCTCCTCTGCCGCAAGTTCTCAGTATCTGCCAAAGCTCGCTTGTATTTTTCCTTAAAAAATAAAGGGGGAGTTTACATGAATGAAGTATGGAACAAATTCATAGAAAAGCAAATCTGCTATAACAAGCCCCAAGTTAAAAAACAAATGACACCTATTATTATTAGTCTGAGATTCCAGACAGACAGCAGCTTAGTAAGGAACTGTCACGCCTGCGTTACTATCACCAGCAAGCGGGAACGGTGTCAGGGGTCAGGCCCCAGTGCAGCCCCTAGGCCATTCTCTGCCAAGGGCGCAGCTGAGGAAAGACACCAAGAACTGCTTTCTGGTGGTTCTGGGGGTCTCGCCACCCCTCCAGGGAGGACATTCACATCCTCAGCAGGATCTCCAACCTAAGGGAATCCTGTAACCTGGCTGGGGGCCGGCCCACCTCACTCCCCACACCCTGGGGCGAGGTTCAGGAGAACACGGCTCCTGGGCAGGCAGCTCAGGCCTCTATTCCACCTGACAGAGAAAAGCCATCAATGAACCTTTGGTATTTTTAACTGCCCAGAAGTGGCAGAGTTGAAACCTTACTGGGGAATAACTGTCTGAATCTGGGTGTCATGGCTCACTCACCTCCTGGGCATTTGTTCTTCTACATCCTGAACTACTCTGGGGGGCTTCTACCACCCCGTTTCAGTCTTCAGGCAATTCCAGTGCAGTGGGTAAAAGCACGGCTCAAACCCTGGCTCTGCCATTCGGTAGCTAATGAGTGGGAACCTTGGGAACCTGACCTACCTTCTGTGCCTCAGTTTCCTTTGTGCACAGGGTCAAGGTGAGGATTAATATACATAAACACATCAGAACAGGGCCAGCACATTAAGTGCTTCATATTATCATTCTTAAATCCTCAAAGAACCTGATTTGTGCCACCTACGCTTTCACATGGAGTGACAATGCATGTCACTCCTCGTAACCAGCTCGCTAACACACCTTCCTCCCGCCACAGCACCACATGACAACACCTGTCTGTCCCTAAGACAGCTCAAGAGCACTCTGCATTTGTGAAGGCCACGTTAAGTCTTAACCCAGTATAATCTCTGTAGCACCGGACAGTCCATTCTCACGGCAGAACCACAGCACACAGGTCTGGGCTCTAGTCCTTGCAGGAGAAACTCACTGTAGGCCCCAACTGCCGCCCTTGGTCAGAGGGGGGAACTCATTTGGCTCGGTCTCTGGTGGCAGTGAAGAAAGGAGCCCGGCCAGCCGGGCTGGAATAGATCACCCGAGGCCTGGCTGACCTGCTTCCCCACTGAGCCGTGCAGCCTTACCACAGTCTCCTTCAGCTGCTCTTCTAACTTGAGCTTCTCTTCCATGAGTATCTTCTCTGTAGAGGAAAGATCTGTCTTCTGCTCATTCTGACCCATGTCCTCTTCCAGGTTCTGGCCACTGTTCTTCTGCTTTGCAGCCGTGCACAACAGACGAGGACAAGGCCTAAGGAGTCCACATGCTAGAAATTAAGACTGGTTTTTTTGGCTTGCTAGCCAGGTATGTATTAGAAATCCAAGGTCATTTAAAACTATTTGCTATTACTTTAAAAGGAAGAAGAGATTTATTTTAGATCTAATAAAGGCAAATCGTGTATGATGTATAGAAGCTGTTCGTTTATATAAAATCTCCTGCAATACATGCCTAAACTAATGTCGGTGTACCATGGCTATGGCAGCACCTCCTCCTCTCTCCATTCCAAACACCTAAAGGTGTGAACGCTGACTGCACAGAGGACAGGGCAGGTATTTGGCCAAGGGCGTTTCCTGTCACGCAAAAAATCTCTATACAAAGAACTATACTTTTGGGTTTAAAAATTATAAAAGAGGAACCATGTGCTTTGGGAGGCTCAGCATACAGTATTTCTAACTTTGGGGAAATGGCCAACCATGCAAAGGTTTGCACAGGGGAACTTTCAAGGACAGGTAAAAGCTACACATCAAAGCCGAGAATGGAGGCGACAGACCCATGCAGGAAGTGAGAACTCACCAGACAAAGGCATGCAGGTAGGAAAGCATGGGGTATATACAGGGGAAATACAAGCTCTAAAATGAATACTGGAAGTGATGTAAGTTGTTGTCCAATCTGATCCTCACGTGAAAAAGGTTTAGCGATAAGCCCAAGGTCGCAAAGCCATTTAATGAATGTTGAACTTGTCTTAAAACCCAGATTTCTTCACCAGGACCAGGGGAGCTCTTCTTAACTATGCCACAGTCCAGGCTGAACATACACTACATTCAATTTTTTTCCCGGACTAAAGAAAACTGCCTCAGTGAACAGGAAAGCCATCAGGACAGAGACTATATTACAAGGATGTTTACAGCAGTACTATACACTGACAAGCTGGGAACAGAACGCTCATGAATGAGGAAACAGCTGAACAAGCTGCTGCTTCCACAATCTGGAATACTGGGCAGCTACCAAAAAAAAAAAAAAAATGCGTTAAGCTGTCATCTCTTGGACACACTATGGGTATACTGCGCAGTAATTCTCTAGAGAAATACAAAAAACATGACCCTATTTTTGTGAAGACAAACCAGAAATCCTGTGTGTGTATACAAGTGTCTTAGGCCTGTAGATGGATCGAAGGATCTACTGGTCTGTTACTATGGGGTGGGCAGCAGTAACCTTTTAATTTCATTTTTATTTTTGTGAGTTAAAAAAGCCAATCATTTAAAAACTGAGTGTGCTGTTGTGAAGCCTGTCTTGTTTTCTAGTTGCCCTGACCTCTGGGTGGGTGGTCACAGCCTCTCTGCAGGTGGGCTTAGCTCTGCAGACCTGTTTCTGTTCAGCAGCACAGCCAACAGGGGGTCTGGCAGCAGGTGCAAAGTTGGCATGGGATGAAGCAGGGCTGTGCCAGAGCTCGTCCCGTTTACAGAGAGGGAAACTGAGTCTCAGCCTATTTCTCTAAGAGTTATGACTACGATTCAGATCTCCTAACTCCCCCATTTGAGCCTCTCCACAAAAACCAGTTCTCAAGAAACAGAAATTAATGCTGACTCGATCATTTTCTTGGCAATTAATTTCAGGTACAAAACCACTAATTACTTCAGCAAAAAGCCTTTTTACTCAGGCATTCCAGATGGCTCAGTGCTCTTTGTTTCTGGATTTCGTTTCATATAATTTATCAGGCTGGCAATCACACCTTAACCCCCTTTCACTGTAGGTGACCTCCCCTCACCGGCCCGTGTACCCACGGACAGGGGTAATCGGGGGGAAAAGACCAGGCCCTGCGTTGCCCGGCTTCCACTCAAGGTTTGGCGCAGACCGTCGTTTCTAGTAAGCAATTCGGTTCTGCGCGTTTCCTCCGACACAGAAGACGCTGAGTACTCGCCGAACTAACGAGGTACGACTGTCAAAAAGCAGACACCTAAGATCTTTTTTTTTTTAAGCAAATAAGGCGAAGGAGTCACTGCACCCCACCTAACGGAACTCTTCTCCCCACGGAAGGGCAGGGCCGCCGCACTCCTGACCTCAGGTTCCGGAAGAAGAGGAGGCGAAGGAATTCGGGGCCGAGTGGAAAAAACCCGTGAACCGTGTCCGGGAGCCTTGGTTCCACGGAATTTTCCGGGCGCCTCCCGGGCACGCGCCTGGCTCTGCCCGACCCGGCCTTGGACAAGCTCCGGTCCGGGGGCCCTGGGGTTCCGAGGAGGGGCTGCGCGCCGGGCCGGGACACGTGCGCAGTCCGCGCGGGCCTCCTTCCCTCCAGGCCCGCCGCGGCGAGGCCCGGCCATAGGAGGTGGCCCGCAAGGCAGCCTCGAGCGGTGGTCTGCGCCCCGCGTCGGGGAACCGCAGACCCACGACGCCCCGCTCCCGAGGGCACCCCCGGGGCGGCCTCGGCCGGACGGAGCGAGAGGCGGAAGATCGGGGCAGGGGCGGCACTGAGGACCGCGCCCTCCTCAGCCACAGTCATCCGAGTGCCCCTTACCTGAAAGACAATCCCAAAGCCGGGAGGCTGCACCGCGCCAACCTCACGCACCGAGCCGCCATAACTCCACCGCCTCCGGCACTGCGTACGCACTAAGCATGCGCGGAGGCCGCTGGCCCGCCCCCTCGGGGGGCCAGGCCTCTCGCGCAGACTCTGTGCCTGCTTCCCCCGCCCAACCATTTCCTCTCAGCCAATCCTCGACCAGTTCTCCCATGATGGACAGCCAATAGTCACCAATAATTGCGAGTGAAGAGGAGCACTTTGATGGTGGAGGGGGAACCACCAGCGGGTGGTGTCTGAGGAGCCCCAGAACGCGAGAAGGTGAAAGGTGAAGGGAACGCAGGGAGGAGACTCTCTTTCCGTGGGCGGGGCGTGCCTAGGGACTAGCCAGTGGGGAGGCAGGAGGCAGGAGGGCGGGGCGGGGCGGCAGCGCGTCGGGGGCAGGGTTCCGGAAATGCGAGGCCTGCGGGGCCTGCTCGCGGCAATTTCCGGCCTGGTGGGCGGATCGGTGCTCGGCTTGTGTTGTGCTCGAGTTGTCGCGAGTTGGGGGCGTTTGGCCCGCTCTGCCGAAGGCCCAGCGCCTGGAGCGGAGTCGGGCGCCCAGCGTTGGCCGAATGCTGACAGCCTCGCCGACAGGTGCTTAGGGGCCGCGGTGAGAGCGGCCGCGGAACGGCCACGGCCTCGGCCGGTGGCTCGGCGCGAAGGCGGAGCAGGCTGGTGGTACAGGGACCCTGGCGCTCTCGTGCGTTTGCTTAAAACAAAAGACAAAACCCAGGGAGCAGTTGTGACAAAAAGGTTTGATGTTGAATGGTGGGAATGGGGGTGCCGGGTTTCTTTGCACTTTCCTCTCGCCTTCAGTTTTCTCAGAAGAAAAAGTAAGAATAGCACATCGGAGAACTTTGGGGACTTGTAAGGCCAAACGGTTTTATCAGTCCTGTTATCGGGCCCCAGAGACCAAGCTCTGGAGTTGCAATGTTACAGAAATAAACACAGAACTGGAAAGAAAGCAGTTTATTAGAAAGATACAAGGGAGCTGACAAGAAAGAGGAACGCCAGCTCCCCGCGGGGGTTGTGCGCAAGGCTCTTAAAGGCATCTCAGAGGGCGAGGGGTCTGGCCGGCGTGGTGGTGCCGAATTGTCCCGGACGTTACCTCCGTCGTTCTGGTGCCTCCGCTTAGTGGTCAGCAGATGTTGACTGACAGGCTTTCCCAAAACATGGTCAGGGACCTCCCTTGATGTTTCTATAAGATAAACAGACACAAAACAATTTTTGTAATTTCTCTTTCTTCCCCAAGGCAATGATTCTTATTGTAAAAACAGGGACTGGGCATTGATCCTTGGGAGTGTTCGTTCTGGCTTAAGATTTGGCTGGTTGATTGTTGACCGTATGGCCAGTTTATGGTCTACGATACATTTTTCTTAGAAGACATTTTGGGAATTTTTACCTTTTAACCTTTAAGCCTCAAGATGGAGGTTTAACTTAAAATGGAGTCCCTCTTGTTCTTCCTTATGGTGGCTCACGTCCAGTCTGACAAAGGTCACAGCTACTGAGTCACGTGGGTGAAGAGGCCAAGGTGCAGAGAGAGGAGCGGCTGGTTTTTCCTGTGTCCCTCAGTTGCCGGCCCCCAGGGAGGCCCTGGAACTCTGGCGTAGCTCCCGCTTTGGCCCTGCTGGCCCTGCAGTCTGCCCTGGGTGGAGGGCTGGAGCCTGTGGCCTCAAATGGGGTGGGTGCAGCCTGTGCATCACATTTGTGAGGACCAAGCCTCTATTTTGCTCCGCTACCTTTAAAAGTGTTCATAGTGTTGAATGCACACTTGCTGTGTGCCCTGCCTGGTACCAGCTGCAGGAGGAGGCAAACAACCAAAGCCAGAATGTGGGATGTTTGGACCGTGACCCAGCTAGTTAATTAAGGCCTGGAAGTAAAAAAAGGAAGTAAGGCTGTTTGAGAATAAAAGGGTTTAGAAGACCTCATCTAATGGAATGAGTGGACCTTACCTGGATCACCGTCAAACAAGCCACCTGTAAAGACATTTATGAGGCAGTCGGGGACATTTTAATATAAATAGTATTAGGTGATAATAGTTACTGATACTTTTGTTAGGGAGAGATAAGGCCTGGTGGTTAGTTAAAAATGGCCTAGTCATATAGAGATGCAAATGGAACTACTTATAGTAAGTTTCCAGTGTGGGGGATTTGCTTTATAAATACTCTGGTTTAAAAAAAATGATGAAAACACGAGTGGCAAAATGTTGATTGAAGTGGCAAAGGTTAAAATTGGATGAGGAATACTATGGGAGTCATGGCTTTTGTATGTTTGAAATTTTTTGTAATACAATTTAAAATGATGGTATTCATGTTTCTCATTGGCTGTGACCAGTGAGAAGTCACTTAATTGCTCATGGCTTTGATCTGCTCACCTGTAAAACTAGGGTCATAATTTATTCTGTTTATTCTGAGATTTAAAAGCAATACAAATACTCATTTCCTAACTGTTCCTGGGGCTTAGAATCAGAAGGGCTTCTTGGCCATAAATAGCTCATAGTGCAGCATGGGGGCAGTCAACAGTTATAGTCACTGTGTTCTGAGACAGAGACAAGCACAGGTTGTCGCAGTGTCAGTGCCACCCTGGGGACACTGAACCACCGGTGGTCTAGGCCAAAGCCACGCTCTGGATGTGTATCCAAATGATGGATTTCCCTAACAGCAGCCTTCCTGTCCTGCCACCTCGTGGCCACAGTGGGAACTGTGTCCAGAGGTGTCATTTTCCGTGGGCTCTTGGGAGCCTGCTCTGGTAGTTCCCTGAGGTCTGGAACTTCCCCACCTGAGTGCGAGTCCTCTCCACGTGGAGATGAGGCTGTGTGTGTGGGAAGACTCCTGGATAACCCCACGGAACACGCTTCCAGCAAAGGGTGCAGGTGGCCTGGGCAGGGCCTGCAGGAAAGAACAAGCTAAAGGGCACATGGAGCCCCCAGCAGGGATAGGGTGGTGCTTACAAAGAAAAGTGTCCTCAGGAGAAGGTTGTGCAGATGGATCAGTAGCACGTCGCCGTGGGTGTGATGTTTGTAAGGGCGGCCGTAGGTGCCAGGCTCTGTGCAGATGTCCCTTCTCAGATCAGCCCCCAACAGGGCGAGGAGGGGATGACCTGGCCAGGTTAGGTAATTTGCTCAAGGTCATGCAGGCAGGAAAAGGCAGCTTCTGTGTATTTGCCCCAATGGATCCCAGCTTCCAGGTGACTGTCAGGGCTGAAGTCAGAACCCGTTCAGTCTCCTGCAGAGTCGTGGCTGTTGCCCAGTCGCATCATCATCACTGGTTATTTTTGGCCCTCGGCAGGGCCAGGGCCTTATATCCAAGTCTGGAAATAAGCAAATTTTAAAGATGTGGGTGTGATGACTCTGGTGGGCACAGTTCTACGAATGGGCCCCAAGATACCCACCCTCTCATTCATTCAAATGGCGATTTAGGTGCTGCTGTGGAGGGAGAAAGACTCAGATCCGCCGCTGGTCTAAGCTGGAGGGGAGCGGGGACGGGTGGGGGGCGTTGAGGGCGTGGTCATGGGGGAAGGCGTGCGGGCCTCCTAACAACAGAGTGGCCCCAGCTGGCTGCCCGCAAGGAAATGAAGACCTCAGGCCTGCTGTCCCAAGGAGCGGAACTCGGTAGCCTGCACACGCGCCCGGAAAAGAGCCCAGCCCGGCCGGCACCTTGATCTTGGCCTTGTGAGACCTGGAGTGGAGAATCCAGCCTCATTAACTAAGCTGCATAATAACCCATGAGGTAGGCTTTACTTTTTAGTTCTCTCCATTTATCTTTGTTTTGGGTCACAGTGCACAGAACAGATTAATCACAAACCTTGTGCCCATTCTCATCCTGGATCATTCTTGGCCCACTTGTGTTGGTTTCAGTGCTGTAAGAGACCCCCCTGAACCCACCACCTAGAGGGCACCCGGCTTCTCATGATGAGAGACTGGCCTGAAAGAGGGACCTGAAAACCTGGTGGCAAATTTCTCTACCCCCCCACCCAGCACACGGGCTCCCCCCTGAAAGGGGGATTCTTGGTCAGAAAATGCCACAGGAAGGGGCTGCAGATATTCCTGTTGAAATAACTGCAGAAAGAGCCGGATCTGTTGTGTGGGAGACATACAGATGCAAGGCTGACGAGCACCCCTGCCCCGAGAACCTGGGGGGCTGCTGTGGCAGGGCTGGAGGGTCCCAGTGGGGCTCGGGGCCCCTGTGGGAGCCCTGACTCCTTCCCGAGGAGGGTGGGCGTGAGGGCCTCTGGGAAGCCTGAGGAAGCAAATTCCCTTTGGTGACCACACCAGAATCATGTCCCTCTCCAGGACATGATCAAAGTTACAGCTGACTCATGGATTCACCTACTTTTTCCGTAGGTGTGGAAACCTGGAAAACACCTCCAGAGGGAGTGTTCAAAGATGCAGTTTTCCTTCAGAAACAAATCCTGTGTCCTGAGGCAGCCGGAAAGCAAACCGGCTGTGCCACACCCTTGTTGGTACCCCCAGCCTCCCCCATCTGGTCCCCACTGCACAGAGCCTGCCTGAGGTCCTACCGACATCACCCACCTGTGTCCCCTTGCCCTGTGCCCTCTGGGGGCTACAAGTCTGCAGCGGGCACGGCTGCCACCAGTGCTCAGAGGGTACCTTGTGCCAGTTGGAGGCTCACTCTGAGGCCATGGCTCACAGAGGTGTTGGGCTCGGGGGCAGCCCAGCCAGAGCTTGGCCCCCTTTCGTCCTCAGGGGGCTGCAAGCAACGGAGCAGGGTTCCTGCAACGGGCCTGCGAGGCCCTTCAGGCGTGGCCCACCCTGGCCCATGTGTTCCTGTGGGCCTCCTCTGAGCTGAACACACGCCGCCTCAGGTCAGGGCAGGGTCTCCCATCTACTCTGAGCTCAGAGGCCCGTGCAGCCCCCTGCTCCTCACCAGCCCGCCAGACAGTAGAGTAATTGACACGTTGTTTCTGAATGCAAGAATTAAGAATCAAAATGAAGATTTCCATATAGGAAAAGAATTACTGAATGAAAGGTGATGGGCAGCATGGATCCTTAAAAAAAAAAAGGACACCAGCTGGGTCAAAGACTTCACAGCCTAACCCCAACTTCAGGTGCCAGCCACCCATTCCAGACCTCCTGCACTTCTGACCAACTGGCTATAAATTGGGACTTCCCATGACATCCTCCTAAAGTTCAGTAATTTCCTAGGGTTGGGTGTGCTCACTAATTCTGAAGCTCTCAGAATCTTCTGGTTCAAGCGTGTTTAGAGAGCTCAGTCTCCAGTGCTCCCCACCCTTCTTTCGGGAGTGGGGCTGAAAGTTCCCACCCTCTCATCTCTTGGCCTTTCTGCTGACCAGTCCCATCCTGAGGCTATCTAGGGGCTCCACCGTAAGTCACCTTATGCTCCTATCAGGGGATTCCAGGTGTAGGACTTTTGAAGAGGGAACAAAGACAAAATACTTATTTCTTACTATTCCAAAGGCTGTCATAGACTTCTGACACTAGTCACTAAGACCTTTAACTGGTTTTCTAGTCCTACCCCCTGAGCAGCGTTTAATAGTTTGGTTTCCCATATAGGACTTTCCACTGGGGAGCAAATGTTCAAGGAGCTAACATACTCTCGCTAACTTGCCAATTTATTTAAATAAATAAGTCTTACAGCTTTGATACCAGTTTCATGTGGCTGCAATTAGTGGGGGAGTTAGTATCAACTCTGTACTAAAAAATATTGGCAAAACTGGTTATTAATGCAGCAAATACAAATACAGGTCCCTACCTCACACTGGGTACAAAAATAAATTCCAGGTAGATGGAAGAGCTAAATGAAAAAATACGGTAAAAATACTATGATTTTAGGATATTATATAACTGCATTAAAAAAGAACTAACACGAGCCATTTAAAAAATATATATTTGACTACATAAAAATTTTAAATATGTTAAATCTGTTAGTAGTTAGGGATATGTAAGTAAATCAATGAGATAACATTTTTTACTCAAGTAGGCAAAAACAAAACTAATTTTATTGTTACCATCCATTGCTTTCCAGGATATGGGGAACCTGAGAGATACGCTCATATACTGTTGTCATAGTGCTGGAAAATAACCTGTAAATACTTACTAAAATTATAAATACGCACATGCACATTTCAGTAGAAAATCCCATGTATCTTAGGTAAGCACCCGGATATGCAAGGATATGAACACAGGGATGTTTATTACGGCATGGTGTTGCTGCAAAGAAGTCAGACAATCCAGATGTCTTCAGTAGGTGATCTGTTGACCAAATGATGATGTACACATACTATGGCATATTATGCAGTCATTAAAAAGAGCTCTAACTTAAAAAAAATAAGAAATTCATAGCTTTTTAGTTTTGCTAAATTATTGTTAACCACTGATAGATGATGGATAAACAAAATATATACACACAATGAAATATTCAGCATTAAAAAGGGAGAAAAATTTAACGTTCTGCAACATGGATGAAACTTGAAGACATCATGCCAAGTGCAGTGAGCCGGACAATGAAAGGACAGGCACTGTGGGTCCACTTGTAGGGGTCACCCAGGAGAGGCGAGTCCGCAGAGACAGGAGGTAGGTAGTGTGATCATTACCGGGGGCTGAGAGGGGGCAGGAGGTTGGGACAGAGTGTTCATGGGGACGGTTCCTGTTTGGGAACATTCTGGAGATGACGGCAGGGATGGTCAAGCAACACAGTGAATGCACTTAATATCACTGAATTTTGTGGTTAATGCGCATGGCTTACCATGAGCATGGCTGTGCACACACCTCCAGCATGTGCCAGTCCTTAGAGGCTTGGCGCAGGTAGGGAGTGAGGAGACCTGGCTCCCTGTGCGACAGGAACAAGGCCCGTCCCTCTCTGCGCCTGTTTCCTGGACTGTAAGGCAGCCTGTGCTCCGTGGTGGCAGGGGCCCATTTCAGCTCCTGACAACGTGTGGCCCAGAGCCCCGTGGGACACGCTCTGTCCCTACTTCCCTCATCTGGCCTTCATCCCAAGGGGGAGGGGCTGGCAGGCTCTGGGCCTCTGTGCCCCCAAACCCCTCCTCAGCCCGGCCTGCCAGCCTAGCACGTCCCTGTCCCTGCTGCTGTCTCCTGCTGCTGGGGGGCTCCTCCAGCACCCATGGGCACTGCGCTCCTCCCACCCGGGGAAGAGGGCTGGGGCAGGTCTGTCAGCAGGACCCCAGTTCTGCACAGGAAGGCGCTTGGCCACAGAGGGGCGGCCTGGTGCTCTTTGTCAGGAGGCCCACTGGCCCACAGATAAAAGGTACACACTGCTTGCCTTGCACAGAGGAGCGGAGCCTGTGGTCGCCCCACAAGCGTCTGATCACACGGCTCCTTTCCACCACCCTCAGGTGGCTCATATCCCTGGATGGCTGACCCTGGGTACCCCTGACCTCTGGCCTCAGTCCCTGCCTGTCCCACACCAAGCCCCCATCAGAACACTGGCGTCTCGCAGACCCTCTGTTTTCTAGAGTCTCTGACTGGAATGTTCCTTCTGAACTCCCCACCTCACACTCCCTTTGCCTGGCTAGCAGCTATCTTTTGACTCAGGTTCCCACCTGTCGCCTCTTCCAGGAAGCTTTCCCGGATTGCCCAAGCTGCGTTAAGTGACTCTTCTGTGCCTTCATCCATCAGGGCCCTGGCCACACTGGGAGGCCTTTGCTCTTGTCTGTGCTCAGGGTGAGGGCTGAGCTTGACTCCGGTCAGGGCTGTTGGGCTAATGGTGACCCAGAGTTGGCAGCTGCCCCAGCAGGTCTGATTGCAGTTTTCCCTCCCATCCTTTCCCCATCGCTGCCCCGTGGTCATCCCTGTCCTATTGTTCCTTGCAGGTTCCTCCTTCCCTCCATTGTTTCCCTCAAACGCTGGTAGAGACCGAGCTGCAGAGAGGCGCCCTTCAGGACCACTGACCATCCCTCGGAGGGGAGGCATCCAGTTCCCCACAGCAGCCTTGATTTACTGGACAAGGCGGCCTGTTGGCCAGGTGTCAGGCTCTGTCTGGAGGCAAGTGGTTTGCTTTGAGGTGATAAACGGGCTCAACAGGGCTTGACCCTGAGCCAGCCTCCCGGGGCAGCCCCAGCCTGCCTGGCTATTTTCCCCGATGCTGCAGAGTTTGGCCAATACATGATTTTTAAAAGTTCAGAAACAGTTTTTCTTTGCTCCTGGAAAGACCTTGCACACAATTTGTGTCTTGAAAAATCAGTGCAACAAATGGAGTTCAGAATGCTCCTTAGCTGGGAAGGATGGAACTGTTTTCGTCCCTGTATTTTTATTCCTTGGCCTGTCATGGCAGATCAGTGCCCACATGAGAATGACTGGTTGTGTCTGGGATTTGTCTTCAGAAAGCTGAGGAGGGCAGGAATTCTGGCTGCTTTTTGTGATGGGAGAAATATTTGTACCTCTGGGATGAATGTTTTGAGTGAAAAATGTAAATATCTGCCCCAGAAGCCCCCTCCCTCCAGGACCCCGAGCTCAGGTGGGGGCCAGGATGTTCCCCCTACTAAGAAGCCATTTCACCATGGCAGAAAAAGAGAACAACACCTGAACATCAGCCACAGAAAAGCTGCTGAGAGCGCCGTACGGCCCTGAGGGAGGTGTCCGTGCTGGACAGATGACTGCGGGCTGCGATGTCCGAAAAGGCAGAGCACAGGACGGTGCATCTGGCAAAACTCAGACTTCGTGGGGGACTGTGATGAGGGAGCAGGACTGGCACTGAGCTGCCTGGGACGAGGAGCAGGCGCTCCTGCCGCCCCCCCCGTGGCCTGACCTGTATGTAGCTTGCGGCACCTTAGATCTGCTGGGCCCCCCACGTGTCCGTGTGCACGGGGTGGCTGTGAGCATCTGGGAATCAGACTGTCCTGGAGGCAGCCTTGACCCAGTGCTGATGCCCTATGGTGGGCGCTGCTGTGGACGGGGGCGCTGCAGGACAAACACAAGCCCTGCTCCTGCCCTCCAGGCAACAGCTGCCCAGGGGTGAGATAGAAAAGTGATTTATAAGTAAGAACCCTTCCTCCAGGGTCTCCTCTGTGGAGTAACCCACCATGGGTAGTGCCAGCCCTTTCTGTGGGTTCATTCCAGACTACAACCTCCTTGAGGCCAAGGACTCTGTCTTCTTCCCTGTGTGTCCCCAGTGCCTAGCATGGGGCCTGGCACCTGGAGGTCTGTGTAGGTGAGTGTCAAGTTGAATTAAGTTAATGAAAGCTAGCCCCTCAGCAGCAGGGATGGTGCTAGAGGGCAGCCTTCTCTGGGGAAGGTGACCCTCCGGCCAGGGACCCAGGATATCCTGAAGGGCAGGGCATTTAAGGGCCTTGAGGGGGAATCAGGGCAGGAACTAAAGCCAGCGGCCATTCTCCCCTCCTCTGGGCAGGCTTGGCAACCCCCACCGGGTTCCTACCCCTCACTGCCATTGTAGGGTGCACCTGGGACACTGGGACACTGTTACCTGCAGGGGCTTCTCTGGGCATGTCTGGGGCAGGAGTGAGGGCTTGAGCTTTGGGGTTTGATGGACCTAAGTTCTAACCCCCCACCCGTCCCTGGCAAACCATCTCCCTCCGCAAGGTGTCCACATCCTCACCTAGGGCGTGGGGGAGCCACCCAGGCCCCAGAATGCTGGGCAGATGCAGGGAGATGTGCTGTGCTGCCGGGGCTCAGTGAGTGGGAGCAGCCATGGTCACTGGTGTTGGCCCGAAGGGCTGGGTCACAGGGTGAGGATGCAGACGCGCTGTCCCAGAGGTGTGGCCGTCTCAGCAGTGTGTGTGCCGTTTGCTGGCCGTCAGCGGCTCTGCTGTGCGCCCTGCAGCCAGCCTCTCTGGGCTCTGAAGTGCTGCAGATGCTTCATCTGCCAGGGGTAAGACTCCAGGGCATGGTTGGGGACCGTGGCCACCTGGTTGGAGCCTGTGGGCCCTGTCCACAGGTGTAAAGGTAGGATTGAAAAGCATCCTGTGTGCCCTCATGCCACCGTGGCCCCGTCCTGAGAACCCTGGAAGCTTGCCAGCATTCAGCAACTAAAGGGCCAGCCCCTGGCCAGCCAGACTCTCTGGGGCCTGCGTCAGTGCCAGGAAGGCCTGTGCCCAATCTGATTGATCAGTGCTTGGGCTGCACCAATTGTAACGATTTTAAATTTCACTCCAGACCAAGGGTGCTCAAACTAACACAGGAAAAGGCTTGGTGCTGACCAGGTAACACAACTGAGGCTTGGTCTCTCTGTTGCTGCTCAGGCCCCCGCGTCGGGGCCGGGCACACTGACACTGCATCTTGGGCTCGCAGTCCAGACCTGGCCGAGGGGCAGACAGCAGAAGCCCCAGCCCCCTCCCCAGACTGAGGCCCTCATTCTTTGGGGTCTCAGCTCTAAGTTCCTCTGTCTGACCTCTTTGTAAGGGCCACGTGATGATTGCTGGTGTCAGTGACAAGGCTTCCCCTAGATGGGAGCTCTGCATGAAGACCCTGATGTGGACCTCAGGCCACCTCTCCTCCTGCACTGTGCCAGCACCCTGCCCTCCAGCCTGCAGGGACCCTTCTGGCCTTCCCCAGTCCCCCGAGCACAACGTGCAGTCCGTAGTGCTCTGGGTTCGCTCCCAGTGTGAAATGCCCACCCGTTTGCTTGGGTGTCTTACTCATCCTCTAAGATGGGGCTCTGGCACACCCCCACCGGGAAGCCTTCCCTGACAAGCCCGTGTGGGTCAGGCCCTCGTGGGTGGGCCACAGTGCTTCTCTGCCACAGCCCCACCAACCTTGTCCGTGTCGTCTTGCTGCTTTTCTGTCTGTACTGCCCTGCCCTTCTGGAGACTGGCTCCCAGCTCAGAGGAGGCGACCGTGTTGCTCTGGTGGAGAGAAGGGCTGGGGGTGGGGGAGTGGGTGGGCAGTGAATGGGTAAATGTGTGCATGGACGGATGGTGGGCAGGTGGGCGGATGGATGGGCAGATGGGTGGTAGAAGCATGGAAGGATGGACAGGGATGCAGCGTGGATCATGGCTGTGTGGGCAAGTGGGCAGAAGGGTGCTCGAACCTGGCACATTTGTTGGCACGTGTTGGAGGGAGTGTGAGCTCTCATCTCGAGTTTGCCTTCTCTCTGGCTGAGGCATCCTATACGCTCACTTCCCCCCTCTGGGAGAATTATCATAACTCCTCCCTGTGGGATGTTGGAGGGGGGCTTTGAAGGATGGGGCTGAGCAGGTGGCCTTGCCCAATGACCGCAGTGGTCACGCTCCACATGCTTTGTGCTCTGTGCCTGCAGACCACCCACCTGCAGAGGGGACGGCTGGACGCGGGTGCACCCTCAGTGTGCCAGGGCTCAGGAGGTGTGTGCAGAAGGAGTGAGGAGCCACATTGTCCCCAGCGTTGTCCGCGGTGCTGCATCGTGGCGTGGCTGTCCTTGGAGCGTAGGATTCCAGTGTGAGCACACCTTGGTCCACTGCCATTCTCCTGCCCACGGCCACCAAGAAATACTTCTGATGATGACTGTTTTTCTGTCTAAAAGACTAGCAATTAGTGGCTAATGTGCACAGCCCCTGCTGGGGTTCCCCAGCTCTGTGACTCCTGGGTCAGCACTCTGCTGACAGTTGTCCCCCTGATCTCCCCCGCTCTGCCCCCTCCCTCCATCTCCCTTTCAGCATTTTCTTAAGCCGGTTTTGGGGTTTGGTGCTCAGGGTGCAGAGGTGAATGAGCTACCACCTTGCCTGCATGTCATGGCCGCTGAGAAGCCATCCCAAGTCTTCTCCAAAGCAGGCAGCAAAGGTGGTATGAGATACACGTGCGAAAGGGCCTGGGGGCTGAGAGGGGGGCAGGTAGCCTGGTAACAGAAAAGGCCTGATTGGTGGACTTAGGAAGTGCAGGTGCTGAGCTGGCCCTGGGCTCTGCCGAACGTGGAATCGAAGTCTCAGGTTCGTGCCAAGTTCATTGCTTTCTGATTGGACAATGACCTACGTGTGATTCTGGCCTCCCCATCTCTGAAATGGGCTAATGGTACCTCCTGGTGCTGCTTTGAAAGCCAAATACACAGGCTGTGCAAGATCTCTATTAATACAGAAACCTGTACCAACTCTTGATTTATGGTACCTTTCTTTGTAATCCTATCTTTCCAGGTAAATGAAGTTTTCTTGTTTAAATGTTTTTTTTTAATTGTTAAACTAAGATATGCATTGGAAAAAATTGAGTCACATGCAAGTTGATAGAATGTGAAAGACCTAAAGCCTGAGATTCCCCGCTGTTACAGTACACGCTGTTAGTGCGGAATCACCTAGAAGGGGAGAAGGCTCGGGCCAGAGAGGCTCGGCTCGGCTCGGCTCCGTGGCTGCTCACTGGCTGTGTGTTCTTGGCAAGTCACAGGTGCTCTTGCAAACTCAGTTTCACCAGGTGTGCACTGGGGCTGAGAAGTGTCTGTTCCTCACCGCTCTTGTGTGGGATTCAATGATTTTACCAGGTGTAGCCTGATCGCAAGCAATGTTGGCTTGTTCCGTGGCGGTGGTTTCAAAGCCAGGGGAAGGATTTAGGAGGCATGATTCGTGACCACTAGTGTTCTGAAAGGCCAAAATAACCATGACTCCCGACATGATTCCAGGAGCCATCTTCACAGCAAACAAGCTGTGTTGGGCTTGTTTTGTTTGCTGAAGTTCCTTAGTGCGATCCCTACTCAATATATTTCAAGTCATGCTTTCAAGGTTTAAAAAGAAATTGTGGTAATAAATACACATAACATAAACTATCTTAACCATTGTTAAGTGTCCAGTTCAGTGACATCAAGTCTCATTGTGCAGCCAATGTCACCACCATCCATCTCCAGAACTTTCACAACAAATCTCAGCCCTTGGCAAGAGCCACTCTGATTTTGTCCCTGTGAACTGACTGTTCTAGGGACCTGATATAAGTGGAATCCTGGCGTTTGTCCTTCTGTGACAGGCCTGCTTCAAGTGGCATCATGCCCTCAAGGCTCACCCACATCGCAGCAGGCATCAGAAGCCCCTTCCTTCTTGAAGGCTGAATATTATTCCGCTGTTATGGCCACACTGCATCTTGTTTATCGGTCTGTCTGTAGGTGGATTTGTGGGCTGCCCCCGCCTCTCGTCTGTCGCGAACACCGCAGCTGTGGGCCTGCGTGCACACGTGTCGCTCGAGTCCCTGCTCTCGCTCCTTTGAGAGAGATGCCCATCAAGTTTGTAGAGCGCCTTTTAGGTGACCAGCCTGGCCTCAGGTGTTGGGGGTAAAGAGGTGAGGAGGATGGGGCTCTGTTCCTGGAGCCACAGCCTGGGAGATGGAAGTGGATAGGTGGTTCCCTTGGGGCAGGAGATGGTCCTCTGCATGTGCGGTTGGCTTTCTCCGTGTGCTCTCACCTGTGCAAATGCATCACTCCCGGGTGCCGGGAAGCTGCTCTGCTTAGCAGCTCCATGTACAGGTGGGAGACTGAGTCATGGGAAGCTGCAACGCCTTGGCTGAGATCCCCTGCATGCTTAGTCGGGAAGCTAGAGTCAGAATTCAGGTCTACGGAGTCCAGTCCACCAAACTGTTCTCAAAAGCATCCCCATGCAGCCAGTTTTAGGCTTTTGGCTGCACGTGCTGGTGACAGAAACCTGGCTCACCCTAGCTCAGCCACGAGGAGGCAGTCGATGGCCCTTGTAATGAGGGAGGCCAGGTGCTGGGCTGCCTCTGGGCTCTGCTGCATCTGGGGGTGGGGCTGTCTGTGCTTCTCTCTCCACCTCCGGGGGCTGCTTTCCTCTGGGCCCCAACACTTTGCAGAGTTCTTCCATGCAGCTGGGGAAGCTGACTGCGTGAATCCAGGCAATACTCAGACCCTACAGCAGACGCGAGCTCCCCCAGGCTCCAGCTGCAATGGGCCAGGAAGACAGAGCTTGGATTGGTAGGGCCAGCCCAAGAAGGCCAGCCCAGCAGGCCGCTGGGACGAGGGAGGAGAGCCAGTGGGCAGGCAGGGCACAGATGTCCTCATGTGGCAGGGAGGGCCTTGCTGGCAGAGCCCTGATGAGAATGGAAACCAGGCAGGCAGCACAAAGGTCTCCGCCCGCAGCAGAGGCCTGGTGTGGGTTTCATCTTCATTGCATGTGAACCCACCCTGCAAGTGGATTAAAATACAAATGGCCAACGTTTCAAGTACCTCAATAAAGTTTATCATCCATCCAAAGGGATTTCTGCATGAAAACCTCCTGTTTTTGGTACAATACGACTTTGTTCCTTCAGAGTGAGATACAGACCTCTGCCAACGCTTTCTCCCCAAGAGAGCCCTCCAGTGACTGCCCCGTCCACAGGCTGTGCTGGCCACGTGCATCCCAGGCGACTTGCCGCCGAGTGCCAGGGGGCCCGACCCTAGGCCAGAGGCCCGAAGCAGTTCTGTGCCCAGCAGAGCCTACGCACGCTCGCCTCTGACCTGGAACTCGTGTGCAAGCCCCTGGGTCTAATAAGAACACCGACAGGGGCTTTACAACCCAGGAAGGCGAAGGGAGTGGGAGGAACCCAACCATCTGATCCTCTCTCTCTCGGCCACTCGGCCAGCAGGGTCGGGCCCTGGCGCCCACCGTGGGGACTTCTGCCCAGCTGCTGTCAGGGCCTTCCCTTGGCTTCTCTGAAAACCTAAGGCCATCAGAGAGACTATGTCAAGGGGCCTGGACTGGGTGGGGGTGGTGGCAGTAGGGGAGCCAGGGGGGTTGCTAATTCAGGGACACGTGTCAAGGCTCAGGTGGAGGGTGAGGCAGAGCCCGGGTGCTGGGATGGTGGGGAGGGGGCTGGACACGGGTGCGAGGAGGGAACTAGACTCCCCTTTGTGAGCTGTGTGTCCCACACCAGCGGGAAGCCAAGGGGACCGCTGGGTCTACCAGCCCCTCCAATTTACCTCTGGGTCTCTCAGATATTTCTAGTTATTGCCTGGCTCCTTTTGGGGGGCTCTGGAAACCCACTTCTGTTTCCACTAACCCACTCCCAGTCTCCTCTACTTCCCAAATGGGTTTAAGCTCCAACACCCGAAACTGTCTCAGGTGCTGGGGACACATCCATGTGGCGCTTGTAGCTAGTGGGGAGAAGTGACAGCAAACGACAGAGCCAGGATGTGCAGCGGAACAGGAGGAAGGTGAGGGGCTCGGTGAAGTGGAGGTGGGGGGCTGGTTGAATGCAGGGGCAGAGGGACTTGAGGAGGGGCTGGGGCCGGCTGCCGTGGGAAGGGTGTTCCAGTAGGAGGACGGGCCGGGTGAGAGGCGGGGACACCACGGCTGGGGCCTGGCTGGTGGGAGGGGAGGGGAGGGGAGGGGAGGGGAGGGATGGGGAGGTGAGCCCTCCCACCCCGTGGCGCTTCCAAACGACAACTCCACAGATGCGTAATGTGTTCACAGCGCCGTGCAGCCATCACCCAGTCAGTCTCAGAGCATTTTCATCACGTCAAAACCCTGGTGCCCTTTAGCCACCCCACCCCCCACCCCTGCCCCTGCCCTGCCCAGCCACTAACCCACTTTCTGTCCCCATGGATTCCCTACTCTGACCATTCCACAAGAGTGGAATCACAGTCCGGGGCCCTTTGTGCCTGGCTCTATTCACCAGGCATCACATTTTGAAGGCCCACGCAGGCAGAGGCACGCGTTGGGCCTCTGTCCTGTCCGTGGCCGACCAGCATCCCAGCGCGGCCGGCCACGTTCTCGCTCACGCACCCGCTGATGGGCGCTTGGGCTGTTCCTGCGGTCTGGCTGTTGTGCACACTCGTGTACAAGTCGCTGTGTGTTCACACATACATTGTTGCTCATGGCATTGCACCGGCCAGAGGAGAGACACGGTCCGGCCTGTGTCAGAAGCTTTTGTTAAAGTTTGTATTTTCATCACTTTGGTGAAGGAGAAATAGGGAGTGTTGGCCCTATGTTCAAGACCGGAGGCAGGAGGCCCAGTGCGGTGGGGAGATGGCGCCTGCAGCGCCTGCGTTTGCTGGCCGGGTGAGCTCGGCCCACCACACCTGGCTGAGTCTCTCTCTTATGCTTACCTTTGGTACAGTTTCAGAAGAGCTGACTCTCAGCTTCCCCTAATGTTAGCATCAAGTCTTGTTTTTAGAATAATTATTTTAAAAATTAAGTAAGTAACTGATGGACACAGTCCAACACTACAAATCATAGCAGTTGTGTGCTGAGAAGTCCGTCTCCTTTGCAGCCTCGCCCAGCCCAGGTCTCTTCCTGGCAGGCAGCCCCGGTCACTTCCAGGTCCCCATCTGATCCTGCAGTCCCCAGGCAAGCACCTGTCACCCCTGCTTGGGAATAGGGTTGTCAGGTAAAATACAGGACACCAAGTCGAAACTGACTTCTAGATAAACATGAATACCTTCCATATAAGTGTGTCCCAAATAATATATGGGGCATACTCACAACAAATTTATTTGTTGTTCAATCTGATTTTCAAAGTGGATATTTTATATTTTATCTGTTAAAGCTGGCAACCTTGCCAAGGAGGGAAAGAGGCCCGTGCAGGAGGGATTTAGCTTTGAAAATAAAGCAGGTGGATCCCCTGGGGGCACCGAGGTAGGCGACCCACTCTTGGGTTGCAGGTACATTCCTCGTGATGCATGTTCCGGCTGCTTTATTCAGATCCAGCAGATTATTTCTGTATATCTCATCTTATTTTCTACTTGTTCTTTCATTTATTAAACACCAGGCACCTGCTGGCTGCTGGTCATAGCAGAGACAGATGACAGCCCATAGCTGCCCTTCCCAAGTGTGTGTGTGGACCCAGAAATAGCACCTCTCCCGCCCGCCCCTCGGCGGTGCCTCTAGAGTGCCAGCAGTGAGAGTAAGCCCCGTGCCTGGGCGCCACTGTATTGTCAGCACCTGGAGCAGGGGCTGGCACACAGCAGGCATTCAGCTGGATTATGTTGAGTGTGTGACTCTGATAATGTGCACCGAGCATTAGGAGTGCTGTGTGAGACTCAGCAGGGTGGTGCGGTCATGTCGTTAAATTCAAAGCACCCCTTTCCTGGGTGATTTCAAAGGAAATACTTGCAGGGAAACGGGTTTCTGCTACATTGCACCTTTCAGTTATTGCCCGTGCCTACGGCTCGGTTTCTCTTGCTGTTTTATCAGCGACAGTTGTCTCCTGTGCCCCGGCAGGTTCCGGAAGCTCTTACAGGCAAACGTGTCAGAGTGGGGAGGCCTGGAACTGTTGCCCTCCCTGCCTCCCTCCCTTCCCTGGGCTGGGGTCCTGGATCCTAGAGGCAAGCCTCGACCTCAGCTCTCTAGGGTGTGGGGCCCACAGGAAAGGCGGAGTGTGGAGGGGTGCCAGCAGGACCGCCCTCCTCGTGGGAAAGGCCAGCGAGCGCACGCGGGAGGCCAGGGCCGCCTGATTCTCTCCGGCAGGTGCCCTTGCTCAGCTGAGGGCTCTGGCCACCTGGCGTGTGCTCAGCTGGAGCTCGTCAGAGCAAATGGCCCTCAAAGTGAGTGCGTGTGCCCGTGTGCACGAGAGGGAGCCTGGGGGAAATGAGCACTTGGCAGTAACGCGGCCGAGTGGGGCTGTTACGGGGTGTCCCCTGTGTGGGGGTCCCTGCCTGCACTTACTGCAGATCAGCAAGTTCCTGTCCCAGGCCCTTCCCCCAGTCTGGCCATGACGCCTTCCAGACCGGGTGCCAGAAACCAGTCCTTCTGGAGATGAACTTCAAACCAAGAGGTGTCCGGTCGGCAGCCAGCCTGGTAAGGGCCTGTGTTTGGGAGGGGCTGTTGTCTCAGAAGAGTGGGTGAACTGAATAGTGGTGCCCACAGTCTCGCTCCGAGGCGGGAAGCCAGCGCAGACACTGACCTGCTGCTGCTCCTGCTCCCACGCCAGGGGAACAGAGGCCCATCTGCTCCTGTTGTCTGTCCCCATCCCTGGCTTTTGGGAGCGCCCCCACCCTTTCCCATGACTCCAGTGGGGCTTCCCTGCACAGGGCAGCAGGGTACCCCAGTGGGCAGGGCAGAGCACCCCCGACCCCTACATGCAGGAATTGGGCCAAGGCTGAGCTCAGGGCCAAAGCGGAGCTGGTATCCCTGTCCTGGGATGTGGGTGTTGAGGCTCAGAGAGGTTAAGTGACCTGCCTTAAGGTGCACAGCTGGACCACAGCCAGGGAGGCCCCTCTGTGGCAGCTACAGGGGAAGGGCAGGGGGCTGGGGCCACGAGCAGGGAGGGAGCAAGGTGGAGTTCTGACCCTGGCCAGAGAAGGGCCTGGCAGCAGCGGGACCACTGACCACCACCAGGACCCTTAGGACCTTCAGTCAGACGGAGGCAGCTGGCTGGCCCCTGTACAGCCATGGCGAGGCCGTGGGCACTGGCCCGGGGGGTGGGGGTTGGCTGCGTGGGGATGGCTGGGGGAGTCGCTGGCCAGGGCCCAGGTGTGCCCAGGAGAGGCTCCCAAGGAGGGAGACGGCTCAGCCGGAGAAGTTGTGTGTGGGGGGCCCGCCCTGCCCTGCATGAGAAGGGGGAGAAGACTGGCTGTTGGGTGCGGCTGGGGCGGAGCCAATGACCTCAGGGCCGGGAGCGTGTTGGGGAGCGTGTGAGTGTGTGCAGGTGCACATGTGTGCGAGCTGTGTGCGCGTGCGTCCTCGCTGGGCTGGGGCACGCGGAGGAGGCAAACACAGAGGCGCCGACCGGGAGTGGGGCTGCAGGCCAGCACCTCGGGAAGTGACGGAGGGCAGGGTGGTGGGGAAACCGAGTCAGGCTTCTGGCAGTGCTGAGTCGGGATCTTGCCGTGGCCACGGAGGGGCGCGCGAGGGGGAGGGGACAGGGCTCCGGAGGGGCAGCTGCTCCGGGGGGGGGCACCAAGCAGGGCAGGGCAGTGGCCGCAGAATGTGAGCCACCCTGGGGCGGGTGCCGAGGCCCCTTCACCCGGGTGGCTGCGGAGCACTGTCCCAGACATGGGACATCGGGTCCCCCACCGCCATGGGGCTGCGGAGGAGAAGGCGATGACAACACCCTGGGGGGAGACGAATGAGCCCCACGCCACAGCCTGCTTTCTGAGGCCTGCGGTGACCCAGGCTCAATGCCCACGTGGGAAGGGGTCGGCTGGGGTATTTCTACAGCAGCAGTGTCCCCAAGCCCCAGCCGCAGGGCGAGCCGCCCCCTGCCGCCCCCTCCTCGGGCCTGGCCTGGGCCCCCGGGAGGAGGAGGCCAGGAGACTGCAGGGCAAGGAGGGCAGAGG